ATGCAAATCTCTGTCCATTTGCTTGCTGACATGCTCAGGCAGATCTTTGCACAGCTCTTTCTTCCCTAGGATTTCTTTTTTATATGAACTGTCTTTATCTTACAAACCAGGGAAGAGAGACCAATTTACTTATCTATTCACTACTGAGCAGGGAACATTTCCCATTTTCAGATAATGGTTAGGGTGAAATGTAGGTAGCCAAGTTATTGCTATTGTTCAGGTTTTGGCCTGGAGAGAGGTGTTTTTTTTTCTTTTTTTTTTCTTTTTTTTTTTTTTGGAAGCCAATTGGTTTTATAAACCAATGGCAAAATTAGTGGAAATAATATTTCTGTGACTGCATAAAATGTAGAGTTGTTCATTAATGCCTAATCCATACACACAACTGCTGAGCTATGTGGCTGTACTAATTTGGCCCTGAAATAGGCCAGAGAACATAAYGGTGCTTGTGCCAGCTCTATACCTTTCAATGCCTCTACGTTGTTGAGTGCCACATCACCTGATCTGGCATCTACCTACTGGAATAAAGTCATCCCTGTAAGTAACATGACCAAATGAAAACGATGAGAATGAGATGGAGGCTTAGCTGCAATCAAGGCTGGAGTCAAGACCACTTCAGTCTATTGCTATTTGCAGTTCCCTTTTCCCATGCTGCAGGAGATTACCATTCAGCTCTGCCACCAAAGCCACRTGTGTATTTTCTCCTTAGCCTAGTTTAACTGCTGGGATTCAATGCTAAACATATTTATGCTAGCCTGCATCATCTTGACAGAAGTAGGTCAGGGAAGTGGTAGAAGAAGTGGTAATACAGGGGGATCTCAAAGGATGATAGACGAAATAAGAATATATGTAAAACAGTGCAAGTATTTATTTTTAATTGAGACCTAATTAGATGCCATGCAGAAAAGTGAGTGTTACAAAAGAGTCATAAGGAATAGGAGTTGAAGAAATCAGTGTAATTTTGCAGTGCCTCAGTAAATGTTATTGTGCAGTAGCAGAGTGATGCTTACTTAGGCAATTTACCTGCAATCTACTTCATTTTTAAAGCTGATGAATTGTCTGCTTCTAACCTGTGGCGTTCCTAGGATAAAACAGAAATATGAATTTACTGCTATAAAAAGGTTACAGATGATAGAAAAAGATTGTGACATACTGAGTTATAGGGCCAGTAGAATTATATTTATAGAATTATATATATTAGTTTATATATATTAGTTTATATATATTAGTTTATATATATTAGTATATGTATAATATATATTAGTTGTTTAGATCTGCTTCTGTAGAGCTCCTCTTGAACTCAGAGTTTAATATAGCAGAACAGGAGACTAGAGAAATGGCTCGTCTGGGCTGTATAAATACAATATGCTAGGATATGAGGGCTCTTAAATCTATCAAGGCAAAGCTAGAATTGTGGCAGAAATTAGGTTCAGTTTTAGTAGACTGTTCATTAACTATTGGAACAACATCTCTAAGAATATGGTGAATTTATTTTGCTTTGAAGTCTTTAAACCAAGACAAAAATCTCATCACAGGAGATATACCATTACTCTGCTAGGAATTACCTGTTTTGTAGTGAAATTACTTGATGAAATTCAGTGGTCCGTGCTAGGTGAGATCTGATAAGATTACTGCAAATGTCTTCTGAACTGAAAAATATGCATCAGTTCTTAGAGAATCTTAAATGCAGAGCCACAGAAGATCCATATTTATGTGCAGAATTTTGAATGAGCTGTGTGGATTTGGTTTACTGTGATACATGCACGTAAGACAGACCAATTACTCACATTTGTCTCTGAGAWAGAACCAAATTTGTTGATGCTGCTTCACTATGCCTACTTTAAAGTAGTAAGTCAAAAAAATACTTGCCTTCAGTGCCTTCATTGCAGTGTGACCTCCAATGCACATTACACAGGTGAATTATGTGAGGTAGTTATTTTAGCACTAGCGGATGTTATCAAGATTTGTAGATAAAGTTTTTTTTTAAGCTCATTTCAGCAATATGTTGGATATGCCTACCATATTAGGACAGTAAAGTGAATTAGAAAGAAACAGAACTCTTCGCTATTTAATTTCAAGGCARTGAAGATAACAATGAAAAATAATAGAATACATTTCATGTGTAAACAGAGAAAGACTGTTTAAACAGAATGTAGCAGTTGGGAAATTTTACAGTTCAAGTTAAATATGAAAACTTCATTTAGCAACAGTGCATATACATTATGATATAGACTTTGTAATACATGCTGTCAAACATAGATTTTTGTAAGCTAATCTTGTGATTCCCTCACTGTCCCCACCATGGGCTTTTAAGTGATGTAACGTAGGGGAAATAAAAGCAGAAAATAACTGAGAGCCAGAGCACTGAGACATCATAGTAGAAGAAGAAGCAACAGAGAAAGGAATATATGAATGGAATAGAAATAGAAGAATAATATTGATCCTAAAGGTAACTTGTTTTTATACTGAATAATGCTAAGTAGCAATATATTTAATAGTGAAATGTTTTATTAGTATGAGAAAAGTAGGATCATTCTTGCCTCATCTTCTTTATCACTGAAATTGGAGAAATTGTTCGTTTGGTAAAACAAACATTACTTTCTGGACTAAATCAGTGCTGTGAGAAAGAGAGAAGTTCAGAAGAGGTCCTAATCAAGAACCTATTAACTAAGTACCTCTGATCAACTTTAGTTAACATACTAGAGCTACAATGACCTATTATCCCATCTATAAAGAGACAGAGTAGGGTCCCTCAGCAACATTAATACTAAGCTTGTACTAAATGAAATTAGAAATATGCTGACTAGTTGCCACAGTTTTATTTATGTATTGTATTATATGACATTTTTTGCTTACAAAATTTTAAGTCCTACTGATGCCAGCAATATTAATATTAATATTAATATTAATATTAAGGCGCAAAAAAATCATCTGTACTATGACGAGGTTGTGTCACAATATGAAATGCCTATTATTAAAATAATAAAGATCTTCCAAGAGATATAAGTCTTCCAATAGATTAAGCCAAGCAAATGTCCTTGGAAAAAAAAGAGGATAGAAGAATGTAGGAAAAAAAGGGAAATAAACAYTATGTATGTAGAAGAAATGATCATTCAAATACAATTTGATGTGACAGTTCTGCACACAACTCCTAATACATGCTCAAAGAAAAGAGGCGGGGGAAATCAAAGAGCAGAAGTTTTCAGTTTACCAGATGAAGCTGATACCTATACCTGTCTGCTTCAGCTTCACTGTTATGGCCTCTGGCAATCCAAAGACATGTATGATAGTTAAGGAAAATCAACATCACATTCATGGCCTAGTGTCTTTCTGTGTAGATGTGTGATTTATCCATTTTAATTCTTTTTGCTTACACATACTTGATTTTTTTAAGTGTCCATTTCTTATTTTCAGCCTCAAGACCATTACCAACAGTAAGATGGGTCAAAAATTTCTCAAGGAAATATGCATAGCTAAATGTTTTTATAATTGAGATAAATTGGATAAAGTTTAATGTATGCTGATTGGGGAGCTGGTTGGCTTGAAAATTTGGCAAGATATTAGCCAATATATTTTTATTGTCACTCAGTGATGGGGAAACATACCGATTTCAAGATAATTTTAGCAGTCCATATAATCTAGGATCTTTCAGGGGACCACCTTTGACCCTGTTAATGGTATTAAATGTATTTAATCGTGTATATATATTCTCCTAAAGCTTCATTTAGTGCAAAGACTCTAGTCTAGTAGTGCAACCAGCATTAATAGTGTCTATGCCCACATAGAGTTCAGAGTGGCTGCGACTGCACAAATATTTATCAAATTTCTTTTGGGGTTTTATAGCCTCAACTTAGGTGTATGATATCACCACCTGACTGTTATCAGTGCTCCATCTAGCTTATTTAAGTTGCAGTGGAGTATGTYCTCACTCTAACAGTGACTGCAAGGAATTTTCCCTAAAATCTTACAATTCTGTTTATTCCGGTTTCCTTCYTTGTCGTATTTTATACTGAATATTATAATGGTATGGGCCTTACACCATGAAAGGAATTTCCTGTTATATTGAGAAAGGCTAGATCATGTAGCCTGATCAAAGAAAAATGATTTATTTACGAAAGACAAGTTTACATTATGAAATATTCAAACATGAGAAACAATTTAAAAACACCTTTTCCTAAGCCGAAGACATGACTAAACATCAGCTTTGTGTTTTTCTCTCTTTTCATATTATGTCTTGCTCTTAGTATTTTTGAAGCTGTCAGATATCCTCAAAACATTAGTGCACCAAATACTGGCTTTGCCAGAAGATTTTGAGGGAAAAGTTCAATGTTTTTTTTTTTTTTTTTTTTTCCCAAGAAGATTAAAGTCTGCCATCTAGTGACTGCCTTCTATAAATCCATTGAACTCAAGCAGAGACTGTAGTCTTGGAAAATTACCACTATAAACTGAGATTTGAAGGGATTTGGTGTAGTTTCTGCTTGAGGAAAGTTTTAGGTATTAGTATGTCATATCTCCTCCTGATAGCCTTTGGTGAATAATTAATCTGCTCTTTCAAGTTACTTTGAAGTTTGAAAATCTTGGAAAGCAAATAAGCAGAACCATAGCACATGCAGATCTTTTTTATCTAGGGCAGATCTGTACTTCAGTGCAGAGCCTGTGTCAGTCATGTGACATTTGGAGTACATTCTCTCTTATAAGCTCACTTCAGAATATATTGTTGCTAAGGCTGCTGTTCATGAAGCTGCTTTACACTTGCCTTAAAAGATCTGCCCACTTATGACTGCATGGTACCCGCTAGATGAGTAGCCTTGACCAAGCTACTCAATAGCACACTGCTCACAGAGGTCCTGTGAAGCCTCTGAACACTGGTAATGATTCTTACTAAGTACTGGATTTAATAGACTGCGCAACACATTGATAGTGGTGAAATTATTCTTAATAGAAATCATAGACGAAATGTTGAGGAGGATTATAACAGAGTTATAATTGCCTATATKTTTTAGAGTGAAGTCAGAAAAATCACAGTGATGGAAACGAGCAAGACGGCACTTGGAATGAGCATTATCTCTCAAACATAAAAGGAACAAGGTAGAATATTGTCACATCTTTGAACACAGTCCATAAAATTCCATTTTATTTTTAAATATCTTTCAATCAAATRCTGCTTTATTTTGTGTAAAAGATACTGTCCACAGTGCTTTCATAAATAGCAGCAATGACTTCAGTAACAGTTTTGTAACAGTAGTGTCAAACGGATGCCTAGAAAATTACTGCAATAGTCTTTAAATCTGTAACACTTTTAGGTRGAGAAAATAATTTTCTAATGAGTGAGTATGCTTAGACTAGGTGGTACTGACCTGAATATTCTTCGCTACCTAAACTAGATATAGGATGCTGAAACTTTTGCAGACTGAAAGAAATTCTGATAAATATATTCTCTTTCAAAGCTTTATTTTCCCAGTTGTTATACACAAACTCTTTGTTGCATTGATGTTTACCTGCCTCAAATACTTGAAAAAAGAAAGGCAGTAGGATGAAAATGGAAATGGGAAAAACTTGTAGAAATCAGATATAATGTAAGATATGCATAAATATTTTTTGATTTGACTAGTTTTGTTTAAATTAGTTAATGAGACTTGTATCGGGAAAGAGCCTCAGCAGAGGAGAAAATTCTTTTCAGAAACTGAGACAGTTTATCTTCTAGAAGTTTCCTTTTTTTTTCACAACCAGTATCCTACTGTAGAGCTTTGTGATTTTATTTTATTTTATTTTATTTTATTTTATTTTATTTTATTTTATTTTATTTTATTTTATTCTGATTGACAAAAATCAGATCCTTTTTTCTTATTTCTAGTATTTTTAATAATCATTAAAAACTACAAAGCTATACTAGCTACAAGCTAGTATAGTCATATACCTGGATAAAGACCTTTGTAAATTTGATATATCAAGTTGTCAGTAGAAATCTGTTACTGATGAAAAGGAATATTGAAATGGAATTTCTTAGCAATAAAAAGCAGAAATCAAGATTTCGGTAGTTAGAAAACTTACCTCCAAACTTGCATATTGACCAGCAATCTTGTTATTTTTAACAATAGTTAAGTTGAAGTGTTAATRTACATTTTTTGGTACTTTGAGGGAGTCTTTCTACTAATAATTGTAATGCTGTACTACAATACAGTGCTTCCAGTGTGGATAAAAAACTTGTCATAATGGACAAGTACYATGAGCATGTGATCTTGGTCTTCCATTCTGCACAGAGCAAGGCTTTCCAGCAGGAGGGAGAAGGATGTAAGGAGCTGAATAAATTCTGCTTTGTTATACCTAAGAAGCTGAGCTAATAATCCTGCTTTCTTCAGTTTAATTGATTCAGTAGAAAGAATTCACACTCATTTTCTGTTAATGATCCAACAAATGACACTAAGATCAATCCTTTCTTCCAAACACTTCATTTTTCATTCACTTTTCAAAGGTTACTACTCTCATTTTGAAACAAGTTACCAATTCACTTTAATACTTTCCTAAAGTTTCCACCCTCACTACTAGAATTCTCAACCTCTTGAATACGCTTTGCGATTTTTTTTCTGCTATTAGATTCTTCTATCAGTATATGTTCCTTCCTCATTTCAGCTTCTAAACTCTGTTTTTTTTTGATGCCCAGGGATAGACATCAAAGGCTAAGAAAACTGGAATTTACAAATTTGGCAAAACAGATGACTTTTCTAATTACTTTCCTCGAGATTCAACTTTTCGTTGTGTCAAAACAGATTTTTCTCTTATTGTAATGGACTTTTACTATTTAAATTGTCATCATGTGAGGAACTGGAGGACTTCTGGGCCAGTTCTGAGTGAAACTGATTAAAAACATTTCAGAATATGGTTGTGCAAATTTTGCCAATTTCTTTTTGTATATAACTCATAGAAGATATCTCAATAAAACACCACGGACTTTCTGAGTTCCTTTCCAACCTGAATTATCCTATAATCACATGACTATTTGATATAAATTCAGCCCAAGAAAGCATTAGGTACTCTAGATACAGTAAGTATGGTTTGCCACAAATTTTCAGGAAATATTAGCAAGAGTTCTTTGAATTAATTTTATGAGGCATTTTGCTCCTGAGACAAGTCTAAGACGGCAGATTTTGAGTCTAGTTTGAAAGAGATTTAGGAGTTGTCAATAAAAATGCATCTTTGATGGTTACTATTTATTATTGCTGTTATGTCACATCGAAAGTGATAATATTAATTTAAGTGGGGTTTGGCTATTTATCTCAATGGAAGAAGAAATGGTAAGTATATGAACTGAAAGGTGTATGTAAGTTTAGAAAAGACTTGGTAGAAAACTTGCTATCCATTTATTAAGGTAGTATTTTGCATGACTGTTAATATCCGTCATAACCAACAAACAAGAGAACATAAAGCTTATATTAGAAAATTGCTTATCTTTTATAGATATAAAGACCTTGGAGGAGAATTTATTTTCAATACTAAGCTGCTATTAGTTTAGATTTTCCATTTCTAGTTTATTTGATAATGACTTTTGTCTATATTATGTGAATTCTTTTATATTTTTATTATTGTGTATAAATACATATTTTGCTTTGAAACAAATTTTACGTATCCTACTCAACATTCTATAATGATAAAAAATACAAATGAGTTCTCCCTTGAAATATGGTGCATTAAAACATCAGAGAAATGCATATCCTACTCTGGAAAGCTGTAAACATGCGGTCTAGCAGTAGCAACAATTAAAGTTGTATTAATAACTATCTTCAAATGCTAAAATGCCATTTGAATGAAAAAGTATATCTGAAAAAAAAAGGAAAAATGAAAAAATTTTTATTTAGAAAATAAGTTTTTTGATTTTCTTTTTTTCCACCAAAAGAACTAGCCAAAAATAAGTAATAAAAAAGGCTCAAAATCTTCTTCTTTTTTACAGCAAAACAAAAGAGGAATCCAAAATCCTAATAAAATGTTTTTCATTGCTTCAATTGTAACAAAGGCAATTTGCAAAAAGACCTTTCTTCCTTCCCTAGAAAAAGATTCAGCACTTCTGAAAGCAACTGTGACATCTGAAAATAGGCTGTCTTTCTCTCTGAAAGCCATTAGGGCTCTGGACAAAAACTCTGCAAACACACTCAGGATAAACTCAATTTCCAGTCCTCTCTGCCCCTGCATTGGAGGTTTCTGCCAGCTACGCAGAACAAGAGGATGTGTAGATGTGTCAACAGACCTGAAGGAGCTGTTTTCTCTGGCAGAATGACAGCAATGTGTTTTTGATGATGGTAACCTCTAAACACAGCTTAACTGCACTCAGAACAGCATGTCTGATGCCCACTCAATCTTTGTCAAGTCCTACTTTCCACTTCACTTTTGAAATCTCCTCATATGTGTGATCTTTACCCCAACCACTAAGCCTTTGTATTGTCTCTCCTTGTTAGCACAAACAGCCTAGATATAGTTGCCACTGAAACCCAGCTTGATTAATAACATTTGTACATTTGACATTTGTACAGTTGTTGAATACACATATAAAGCTGAGATGAAAGTCCTGAATAAAGTCCTTGTGAGATTTGTAGCACATCTTGTTTCTTTACACACTTCAAATAACACTTAGCGAGAAACCATATTCAACAAAAGTTGCTATATAAGGTCTTCTGTATTCTCAGAATGGGCAGTTTCAGCCAGAACATAACAGCTTTCAGAATTTARAGTGTCTATACTAGAGTTAATTTTTTACTGTACTGTTCACTTTTCATGCAACTTAGTAATTGAACACAAAACTGGAGAAACAAAGATATAATTTGGTGTTACCACGCAATGATCCTGAAAGAAGGAGGAATTATATAGGTTTGACCAAAAACTGAGTTGCTCTTGCTGGAGCACTGCAGGACACGGTAAAAGCAGAATTCTTAGTGCTTAGGAAATGTTAAGGTTAAACAAAGAGATAGTAAATGTAGATGCCTCCAAGCTTAGACAGCAGCTGTTTGTGGTTATTTTTTATTTTATTTTATTTTATTTTTTTTTTTAATTGTAGCTTTGGATTTAGGAGAATCTATTCTTCTTAAGTCTTGCTGCAGGCAGCACAGACCTCTGTTGGAGCTAGCCCCAGAACCTCAGCTGGCACACATCAGCTGAGATTGGTTATACTCAGAAGTGCCATACCACATGATCCCCCTTGCTGCAGGCTGGAAGAATTTCACTTGCCATTGAAATGAACTGCTCTAGAACAGCTGCCTAACAATACAAAAATAATAGTCTGGTGATATTTAGTTCTGGATTTTCTCTTTAACTGCACTAACAGATGAAATCTGAAAAAAAAAATAGTTGTTTCATTCCTCTGATGTTTGGAGTTAATCTCAACAGAGTTACTAAGAGCTGYTATGAGTTCCAAGGCTAACAAAATATTTCTCCCCATAGCATGCATCTTGCCAGTGCTTCTCCTCTTGGCTCTTTACCTATGTATCCCTATGTTTGTGGGAAATTCAAAGCAGAACTTCTAAGCATGTGTTAGCAGCAGCTGCAACAAAGTGTCCAAATGATTCCAAAAAAGTGGTTTAGCAGGATAAGTTCTTTGGGCCTCTTAAATTTCCCATTCCTTCTGGAAGAAAGCAACACAAGGTAAGTGCATACAGTCTGTGATGCACATGGTGTGAGGGTTTAACTCTTCTGGGCTGGCCATTGGTCACCTTCACTAGCAGGCTTGCTTATTCTATAATTAAAATGATCTGAATTAACTTTTAATTCTCTTTAAGGAATCACCAAGTGACTTAATACCTTACAGAGTTAATCCAAACCTTGTTAGCCCTTTAAGAAGTACCTCCTTGGATACCAGCCCGGGATAGCATGATTTTCCTGGGCCAAGAAATAAAACTTGAATAATTTACAGTGTTTAAAAAAAAAAAAAAAAAAAAAAAAAAAAGGAAAAGAAACTATAGCATCCATATACTGCACCATAAATACAAAAAATATAGTCAAGCTTTCAGCCAACTGCCATGGTATGCTAAAATGTTTATGTCTCATATGCATAATAACTCTTGCTAATACTAAATGGAACAGTTGCTACTGATCATTTTTTTTGTTTAGAAGAGGTCAGCAGTGAATAACTATGCTCTAAAAATGCCAAGAGCTTGGTCTTAGGATTCCTTTATTTATTTGCAGTTAGAATGGCAGTTATCAAGAGGGACTTTTTTAAGTTTTTTTTTTTCCACGGGAAAATAGAGTTTTGTTAAAAAAGTCAATATCCTTTTATCAAATTCTCTTCTTAGAACTCTTCTGGTTTGTATGCAAATATATATTCTGGTTAAATATTCTTTAGTTCAGAGTAACTTTGTTGCCTGCTGCTAGTAACCACTGACTAGGTTAATTACATAGAAGATGAAGGCCACAGGTTCAATTTTTATAGTAATTGATGTAACTCTTATTCTGTGCAGATGCCATAACCATTGGATTTTCTGGGTACACTAAAATATTTCCATATACTATTTTTGTAACACTTAAACCTTGGTTTTCTATCTGCCTCCCCAAAGCAGAATTATTTTTCTGATTTGTTCTGTTAGTAGTGAGTTTTTCATTTAGAAGCAATTCTTCTGAGCACTTATCCTCTAGTTTTGCAGTGCCAGTTTCTGATCTTGAGTTATAAGCGATAGGCATTCTGTTCCTAGTGGCATAGAACACAGATGCTGTTCCTTTTGAGATGTAGTATTTGTTTTGCAGAAGTGAGGAAAGAAGAACCTTTGACTCTGTGCTGCCTTTGAGTCTGTATTTGTGGTAATTAKCAGCCTTGTAATTGATCTTTGTAACCTGATCTGATGGGGGTAACCTGACAGTCTCCATTCCAGAATAGTGATGGAACCAGCATGTGAATATCAAAATTGATGATTAAGTAGACAAATTGCCAGATTATCATAGTTAAAGAGGGATAGAAAACAGATGCAATTCTAAAAACATACAGAAAACACATAAAAGCCTGATAAGCCAAGAACAGACATTTTGTCTGATCTGAATAGCGTGAAAGACTGAAGAATAAATTTTCAAGATAAAAAGAAGTGAAAGTATGAAGACAAAAAAAAAAACCCCAAAACATAACAAACAAAAAAAAATCCCCACAAAAAACAGGAACATGAATTTACTATATACTAYGAATACCATAAATAAATACTATGAATTTACTAGAAATATGAATGCCAGGTTCACCTGGTCTCGTTTTTGATAACTGATTTTCCAAGAAGGTGCACATAGCRCATTTAATGAAGTATTTGATACTGAAGTATCAAACTGAAATATTTGTTCTGATTCCAGATGAGTCAGAGATGATAGAATAACCYGAGTTTGATAAGGATTTACTACCTGGGAGAGAATAACTCTCTCACAGGAAGAGAGGATTACTAAGCAGTTCAGCAATTAGTCCTGGGACTAATTTCATGTGTTTTTTTTTGACATGGGCACCAAAGGAAAAAGACAAAACTAAATTTTGTTCATGACAAAAAAGATGGGAAGTATCCTCAATAGGAAATATGCATTATTTGGGACTTTGGTAACTGGAATAACAGAAATGTCACAAATATGCTTAAACAGTGTCATGTGTTTAGGGACTAATGACAGGATTTAGCCCTATTAAATACAGCTTGAAGAGGGGCAGAGGAGAAAGGCTTTAGTTCAGCCCTTTCAAAATTTCTATGTTATTCATTTTTTCCATTCCTTCTTTTCCTACCTGTTTTGTCTCTCCTGTCCTGCTCACATACCCACACGTAATTCATACATCTATTGTAAGCTCTATTTCTGTGACAATTTATACATCTTGATCTTCCTACCCCAAATCCTTCCACCTTAAAATCTTGCAAACCCAACAGTGATCCCATTAGATTGAAATCCAGTCCCTGAATCTTCTCCCTCTGCCCCTATCTGGGGGTATGAATCAAGCTAGAGCCACCCCATACA